GGAAAACAGAGGAAGGACATGAAAGGAAGGAATCCATTTCCGTTTAAACACAGCTTTTTCTAGGTGTTCAATGGTTTGTTTTACAAAACAGCCAGACATTTATCTAAAAACATGGACACAACAGAACTGAAACCTCTGCAAAGCAGTAATTCAAAACTTAACACTCCAAACACTTATGATGGTAAATATTCTATGTACGAGTTCAGAACTTTAGCTACTGGAGAAGATACCCAGTTCTATACACAAAGGTTCTCCCAATAAAGAAATTACAAAAGCAATATTTTGCTAGTATTTTCCCTGAAGATTTGCAGTTTCAAAAGTGTCAATATTAATTCTCACATATCTTCACCAGACAATATTGCAGTTCAAACTGATTTAACATCTATAAAAATGTGACAAACTTAACCTGCTCTCCAGAAACAGGTTCCATAGTCAATGGCATGACTACGTTATCAAGAACTCATTCATACCCCTCTAACACGATGTAAGTAAGCATCCAAAATTATTATGTCTGCGTTCTACAAAAAAGACCACCAAAAAAAAAAAACCCAAACAGTGAGGCTCTTACAGCAGCAAGATACCTTGTCTAAATACCAATCTACAGATTACATAAATTCCACTTTTTCTTCTTTAAACTTCTCTCCCTACACCCGTACTACTCCTCTCCCCCAGCATATCCAGCTGTACCGGGTCTGAAGATAGCAATTCCCTTACCCTGATTTTTGTGTGTTTTTGTGAAGACTGAGAATTGGACTGCATGAAGATTGAGGACAAACAGAAGTGATTAATTACTTAAAGCCCCCAACAATTGTGGCTGTTGAAAGAATGGTAAAGGAATTCAGAAGTAGCTCTGGCATAAAGTACTTTTATTGCTTTTGAAATCTGACTGAATTTTTGGTTAGACTGTCAGTTGACTCACCAAAACAGCAATGTTATGTTGCATGCCTTTAGTCAAACCTCAAATTAAATTGCTTTAAACAATACATCCTCTCAAATAGATCTAAAATTAAGCTACTATGAGAGGAAAAAAAAAACCTTAGACTAAGCAGATGCAATTTGGCTCTGAAAAATGATTACATAAAAATGTTACATTATTCATAAAATCTAGAAGACTACACTACAGACTCGGGGAAGGCCAACAGATGTTTAAAACAGCCAGTGCAGGATGACTCATCCACTAGCAATTAAATCAAACACTATTTCCAAAAGAAGGTAGAACTGCATAATAATCAGGCAGAAAATTATGGAAAAATACCTCAACAAAAAGTTTAAGCAAAATGTAAAAATAAGCAAGCAAACTGAAATTCTAGAAATCTTAAAAACAAAAGAGGACAGGTGAACTGCAATGTGTGATTTTACAAACAATAGCAACCTCACAAAATCAGTAAAACGACAGCCAGGGATCAACGCAACATCTGATTAAAAGAGGGTAACAGAGGGGGTCGTACAGATAAAGGACCTGTGTAACACATTATAGAAAGCTTACAGTCAAATAAACTTTGAATGACAACCAATGAATGATACTAAATGAATGACAGCCTGTCCCAAATAATTATAGCAGCAGGGCTGTACTGGCAATATGAATGGGACAGTACAGAGACTTCCAAAGAAGAAAACAGTAATTATGAGAGATTGCAGTTACTTTGTAGGTTGGATAAGTGTCAAGAAGGGAAGTGATGCAGCAATTAATTCTTTAGCTATTATAAGCAATTGCTTCGTGGAGCAACTGGCCAAAGCAGTCTCAAAAGAAAAAGCATCTCCTTATTTAGTCCACAGTACCTACTTTAGAGGGGTAGCTGCTTGTGCTGGTTTTGGCTGGGATAAAGTTAAATTTTTTCCATAGTACCTTGTATGGGACTATGTTTTGGATTTGTGCTAAAAACAGTGTTGATAATACAGGGATGTTTTAGTTACTGCTGAGCAGTGCTTACACAGAGTCAAGGCCTCTTCTGCTTCTCACACCACCCCACCAGCAAGTAGGCTGGGGGTGCACAAGAAGTTGGGAGAGGACACAGCTGGGACAGCTGACCCCAGCTGACCAAAGGGATATTCCATGCCACATGACATCATGCTCAGCATATAAACCTGGGGGAAGAAGGAGGAAAGGGGGATGTTCGGAGTGATGGTGTTTGTCTTCCCAAGTAACCGTCACATGTGATGGAGCCCTGCTTTCCTGGAGATGGCTGAACACCTGCCTGCCGATAGGAAGTAGTGAACAAATTCCTTGTCTTCCTTTGTTTGCGTGCACAGCTTTTGCTTTACCTGTTACACTGTCTTTATCTCAACCCATGAGTTTTCTCACTTTTACTCTCCTGATTCTCTCCTGCATCCTATTGTGGGGGGAGTGAGCAAGCAGCTGTGTGGTGCTTAGTTGCCAGCTGGGGTTAAACCACAACAGTGCTGAAAAATATTCTACAACAGGAGTATCAATGCACTTCCAATTGAAGGTTCTTGTAAATGAAAAAAAAAAAACAAAAAACCACCAAAAAAACCCAAACAACAAAACCACAAACCCAAATGAACAAAACAACAAAAACCACCAAACCTGTAGCCAGGAAAAAATCCACCATTATTTAATTTCAGCAAGGGGAGCTACAAAACAATGAAGATGCTATCAAAAGATAATTAAAAGCAGCATCTAAAAGGGCAGAATGCAAGTGTCATGAAAACTTCTAAAGATGTTAGAACACTACATCACTGGAGACTTCAAAAAAAAAAATCCTGGAACAGTTCTATAAAGCAAAAAAGGCTATTTGAAGTAAAAAGCAAACTTCAGAATCAGAAAATGTGTTCAAAAGGAGAAACAGTAAATACTCCATAAATATAGTTAAGATTACCACCATCCACATCGAATTTTGAGGAGCATCTTGCTGAAGGAAACGGTACTTTTTTCAAACGCATCAAAACCACAGGAGACCTGACAGAAGGCTGAGAAGGATCATAGAGTCTTTTTGCTGTGGCCTGATCTTCCTAGTGTTTTCCTTTTGCATCTTAAGCTATCTCTGCATCTTTGTTTACTACAGAGAACACTGGGAAAGTTCATACACAGGAGTTTTTCTCTGCGGAGAAGAAAGCTTGAGGAGCTGCCTCAGACTGAAGCAATCTTAAGAAAGAAACAATAAAATTGACCTTTTGGAATGCTCACACTTTTGCTACCATTCACTCAGGAGTTCTAAAGGAATTCAGATATTAAGAAGTCAGACACAATATGGTATGTAAACTGTTGAAGTCAATTTTGTTTTTAAACATTCTAGGAGGATTCAAGAGACTGCAGATAAATCTATACCAAGCAGAGAATGAAAATTTACAACAAAAAGAACTGTTAGCAATTCAAGTATCATACAGAAAAGTCAAAATGGAACTTGCAGAGGGGCATCATGCTTCCCTGATCAAAATTCTTTAAATGAACAGGCAAGTAGATAAGGACTGATCTGCCCCAGAGAACATATCTGAGCTTCCTAAAAACTTTTGAGGTCTTCACAAAGGTTCTTAAAGGAAGAAAAAAAAAAATCAACGAAAAAACCCTCCCAATCAACCTACAAACAAACAAAAAACACTGAGCTGTCCTGGGATAAATCACAGCCCCGGGTAACAAGTGATGTTTTCCCATCTACTTACTCTCACTGTTACTTGTACAAAAATATAAACATTAATATTCGATGATTTCTGTCCATGCTATCAAGAATGCTCCTGCAATCCTGCGCAAACAGAAATAAAGACTTGCTATTACACCTGTTATATTCATCAAGGCTAGTCAACGTAACTGCATGCTGGAGGCCAAGAACAAACTTGATCTCTTATTTCTTGTCTTTCTCCGCATGTTAGGTTTTGCTTAAAATCACTACCTCATCTCACTATTATTACAAGGATACTACAATAAAACATTCAACTCTCTCCCTAGTATCTTTGCAAGTTTCCCTTGGAAGACATGTAAATATATGGATGCTATGAATGATTCGTTAAAGGAGGAAAAGCTACCCAGATTCCTTCAGTACAAATGCTTCCCATGACTAAAACGTTAAAAGGCTTACCAATTTATCAACTGTTCAGCAGTAAGAACGACAAATCTCACAGACTTAAAGAAGCAACACTCACTCTGCACATAGCATGCAGGTACGTGCCATATACCTAGTAGTCACCCCATAATTCATGAATGAAATTATTCTACCACTAATGCCATGAGACCAGGTTGTGAAAATGAGTGCTATGTAAAATACTGTTAAAAATAAGACAAATAAAAACTGGGGCTTCATTTACTTCTGAACATTATTTACCTGTGACAGTACTTAAAGAAGTAGCGAAGACAAAGGATGCAATCTGACAGTAACCTTGGGAAAACACACATTTGCAATCTTTTAGAAATGGGCTTACTGCTTCCTTGAGAAATTTATTGCCAAGTATCACTGCAATAAAAAAGCCCAAACGTCCAAAAAGTAAGCTGTCAGCTGTGCTTGCAACCATGTTCTGGATGGCACATAACCAAGTGCAGCTAAAGACATGGGTTAAAGGACCATGAAGGAACAAAAATATATAGAAAAGCCTCCTCATGGTAACACTTTCTGGTTTTGTTCATTTTGGCATTTTCTCTCCTTACTTTGGTGTTTTCCACAGCTTAGCAGCCTTTGAACTTTCAATGTACACATGTTGCTACTTCTATCAGCTACTCTCCACTTTTGTCTGTTTCAAACCCACAGGTACTTTCATACAGCCCTCCCAATTGTAGGGCTCAAGCCAGCTTTGTTTAAGAGGAATTAAGCAATTACTTGGTATCTTTTAAATTGCTGAAGCAATTATTTTGAGATACATTTTAGGCTTACCGTAATAAGGTAAGAATGAACTCTTCTGTCACTGTTGCCAAGAGCCCTCCAAAGCCTACCTTCACCTAGAACACTAAGCATAATACCCCCAGCCATCTATAGTTAACAAGCTAGAGATACAGAAAAGAGAAAATGCAGTTTGTCATTTGGGTCATAAAAATAGCTTGGCATCTAGAGCATTACCTTGCCTGTGCTTTGTAAGATTGTTGTTCTTGTCCTCCATACTCTCTCCCTGCTGACAATATCTCTGGTTACATCCACTTCCGCATCAACAAAACTTCTCTGTTTAAGAGCAGTTATGTCATCATCCAGATCAGTTTTGATAGTGGATCGTTTCTTTGCCATGATTTTTGCTTTGATAGCAGCAATTTTTTCCACTGACATGGCTTCAGACAAGGACCTAAATGAGCAAAAATAACAGAAGAGACTGAATAATTACACAAACAATTCTTCTGAAAGAATTTGTGAATAAGTAACTTGATCCTGCTTAAAGTTTATGGTTATGCAATAAATCATAAAATAATCACCTTACATATATTTGAAGATTACGTGAGCTTGGCATTGCTGTTTTGGGCATCAGAATCAAATTTCTGACAAGGGACTCCATCCCAGTATTAGCACAAAAACCATCAAAAAATCCCAACTACAACAAGCAGAAGTAAAGACTGCAAACACAAAGCATCAGGACTAACACTTCCATTTAACAACATCACCTGAATTTCAGCTCCCCGTTATTTTTAGCGGATTACAATTTTGTGTCCAGTCAATCAATCCCTGGCTGCTCTAAGGCTTTCAAAGCATTAATCTAAATTTCAGCCGAGGTGCTGTTACATGGACTTGGCCGCTTGGAAGATGTGTTACCTTTTCCGAGCATGTAGGCCAAACAAACAAGGGACAGTAGTAACTTTGTCCACATTAATCTGTGTTTGAGCTAGCTCAGTTCAGTCCAAGAGTGCAACATCTTTATCTGTTTGCTTTTAATTGTAAACACAGAATATGGTTGCCAAAGAGCGAGCCCTATTGTTTTGCAGGTGAGCTGAAGAAAAACAAAAAAAAAAGGACTGAATTGCACAATCCTAACTGCACATACCCAATTCAATTTTACATGATTTCTTTTTTTGAGGTTACACTGAAAAATTAATACAAATCCTGGTTGTGAAGTATTCTCCTTTCACAACTAAGCTACTGGAAAGGAAACTTTTTTGTGTTGCTCTTAAAGTAACAACAGTGACAAGCACAGAGTTCAAACTCACTGCCTGCAAACATTACTTGTACTTTTAAAAGGGCAGTCTTTTACACCCAGCATTAAAAAAAAATCTGTAAATACAGAATACAAAGTAATTATGAAAGAATATTCAGTAATCCTCACTGCAGCAGTCTCATAGCTCCAAAACAAAAGTTGTGATACACTCAAGTTAGTATCTGGATTATTAGTTTATACAAAACAATGTGTGTACTTTTTAAGTTTTTGATCCTTAGACTTTCTGATTTTAAGTCATGTATGACAATCAGATTTCTTTTTTATCCTATAGTTTCTTCTTAAGTACACCTATATGACAGAGAGAGGAATAAGGTATTCAAAAGATGTATTTATTCATGTGGTTAGACATAATTATGGACTCTACAAATGCCTCACTTAGCTATATTAATTGTTGCAAGGCTAACTGATAAATTTAATCCCAGTAAGGGGCAGACAAGCATTCATGGTATTATTTATGCTCAAGAAATAAACTTCAAGAATGCAGTTGGACTAGCAAGTGAAACTACTTGTTTGCAAAATCCAGTGCAGACAAAGCAGTACATTCATTCATATTCATACACCTGAACGGCACAAAGCATAATTCCCACTTCATATTATGAGACCTAACACACTAAAGAAATTAAGCAGATTTTTATTTTAAGGCTTTATAACCTTTATTTTAAGGCTTCTGAACTCAGGTATTTGAAAATGAACTACTAGAGTCTGGTACCCTATAAGTCCCAGATCTTAGTAGCATCAACAAGGTCCTGGAATAGTTTCATTTCTGCCTGGCTTTGGGAAGATACGGTGTAAGACTCAAAACCAGCTGTCATGCTCTGTAAAATTCTGGATGGATACAACAGAAAAGGAAAGGTGATGGGCAAGTTTTTAAGCACGTGAATACTGATTACTACTTATGGCAATGACAGTGCATTATCTTCTGGCAGTCTACTGGCCTCTTCGGAGGCAAGAAGCTCACCTCTGTAGGGACTCAAACAGAGGCTGGGTTACCCTTTGATCTGTTCTCACAATGTTTTCCTCCTTTTGCATGCAAGACATTCCTCAGTACAGGATATTTTTCTTTGAAATACAGAGAAATAATCTCGCAGAACTCTCGCAGTTCTGCTCGTTGTATTTGACTGCTTAGGTAAACACCATGGCAGAAATAAGCAGAAATGGCAGACTTTGTGAGAGCAAGAGACAACTGCCTGCTCACTTCTCAAGACAAAGCAAATCTCATGCCATGACATCTGAACTTCCACTCAAGAACAAGAGTCTGACCAGGCATGAAGTTCTGCCTCCTCAAGCATTACTGATGATAGTACCCAAGAGAGGGAGACTTCCACTGAGAGCTGTTGGACAGAAGTAAAACCAGGTGTCCTGAACAGCACAAGAATTGTTATCAGTCCTTTAATTCAGCCTTATCCATAAGAAAAAGAAGTATTCCTACCTGATCTGCTCCGTTTGCACGATACCTTCTTTATGTCCTTCCAACCGAGCTGCCAACCGCTCCTTGTCAAGGCGCACACACTCTTCATCCTAGTGGCAACAGTAGTGTTTAATTGTAATGTTTAATTTTTTGTGCATTTTCTTTAATAAATACAACTAAAGCTATTTAGAACTTTTTTTTTTAAACATTTGCAAGGACAATCTTTATTTCCAAGTATTTTTGAACTGTGCATTAGTGTTAACTGTACAGCTATTGGAAATTTCCTCTCAAGAGCCACAATGTATAATCAGAATAATGAAAAGGAAAGTACCATTCCCTCATAAAGAGCCTTGCTCAGACAACAATTCAGAACAATAGAAAAATCAGAGAACTTAAAGCTGGCGCACAATATACACTGAGGTAGGACAACACATATACATACGTACATATTTAGGGTAAATTCATCGGACACTCAAATTTGCCCAGATATTTAATCAGTGGCATTTTTAAATAAAAGAACTGCTCAGAACTGTTATATCTTGATGCAGAATTTTTATAAGTGGCATTCCTAGTAAATATAAAAACAAGTCAAGAGTAAAGAAGCCTCTAGTTACTCAAGCCAGGTTTGAGACAGGTGTGTAATTTAAGAAAGCAGTAGAGATGTAATTTAAGCCATCTTTTCAGCTTTTTAACACTGGTACCACTTGTGTTTAATCTGTCTTATTTCCCCACAAAACGTAAATCAGCATCAAGCCTGGCCTATTGCTAAAAGGTAGTTTGGAATGGCTGAAGCACAGCAAAACCAGTCATGTCCATGTACCAGGAGAGACATGGAATCTCTACACCGAAACAATCTCTGAATGACTTAAAACAGACTCTACAGACTCTGAGCTGCCAGAGCAGCAACAAAAAAAACAAACAGAAGTGGCATAAGTTCATTAGGCTCATATGCAGAATTCTAGATTCTCTGAACCATGATGGTAAAGATCTGCAGTTTCAAAACATACTGGCATCACAACCACATAGGGTCACATAGAACAAAAATCTATGGATAACCAATAGGTCATCTCACAGCAATCATATGCTCATGTGCCATTAAGAATGCATAAGGTTTTTATGATTGTTATGCAGTTATGGCTACGCACAAACAATGTTCAAATCCAATTCTGGAATAAGGGAATTTATGTATTTTGATAACATTTCTTCTAAGAAGAAATCTAAAGCTTCAGTACTCTGAAAATATATACAGCCAGATTTATAATAACTCAGAGGAGACTAGATGAACATGGGTTTAACTAGACATATTGCTTCTATTCAAGATGTACTTGTGAAAATACACTGTTAAATTAATTACCTAAGACACAACTTCACAAAATAGTAATTACAGGGACAGTTTCATATACTACTACAAAGAGACTAAAACAGCAGGTAAAACAAATAAGTATCCATTGATACAGATAAGACTGGCAATTAAGTTGTAATGCCAACTCATAGATGGCAAGTAACCATAATCAGTCATTAAACAGCACTTTTATTCCAATCCATAGGTCTTAGCAGAGAGGTTATAATGCAACAGGTACTTAGAGATATATGGTCAGGCTTTCTCCTTTCATACTACAACATATATCTAGCAACTAAAATTCCAAGTTTAAATCAAAGGCTTAAATTCTAACTCCTTCCACCTCATGTTCACACTAACAGAAGTACTTAGAAGTACTGTGTGCACCCAGAGGATAAAGTAGCCCAACTGAATTGCTACAAAAACAGATAAATACTGTAATTTACCAGCACCCCCAATTTGTATTGATGACAGTTACTGTCATTACCTCTATTCTTGGTTTCTTTGCTTCTGCTAATATTTCATCTGCTGCTCTTTTAACTACAAGAAAAAGAGGACATTAAAAATGCAAGATTGTAGCAGACTTCCATAAAATAAACCTCAAAGTTATTTTTTTAGCTAAACTGTACCTTGAGTGGACCGTTGAAGACCAATTTCAAGTGGAGCACTTCTGTCTATGCTTGAGGAGGTTGCTGTAATCAAACACAACATTTCGTTTAAGTACAAAACATTTGCAAATGTTTTTTAAATGTTATTTAAGTATAAAAGGAAGAAGGACAACAGATAAATTGCAAGAACGGAAATTCTAACTAGATATTAGGTAACAAAGGCAGTCAAACGCTAGACCTGGAGATATTCAGAACCTGACTGAATATGAAGTTAGATCAGGTTGCTCAGGGTCATTTGGCCCTTCTTTGAAAAGGGAATTGAACCAGATGACCTGCTGTGGTCCCTTCCAACCTAAATTAGTCAGTGATTCTATGATCTGTATATACCACATAACAGAGTCACAAAGATAATTACTTTATAACCTGGAATCAAGATCTACTGGTTTGTGCAGTTTTTGGAATAAAGACAACCTGCTGGTCCCTTTAAAATATATATAAAAAATAGTTTACTGCTCATATCGCAGAAATAATCTCATATTCCAGCATACTTAAAATTCTAAGACCACCTACAAAACCGAGCAACTTACAGAAGTAAGCCATATTTATCTTTCTCTCAGAGAAACCTCTTTCCTCTGACTATTGTTAACAAAAATGTTAAGATGATGGAATACCAGGCAAATCTGCCAGACTGACAAAGCAGTGATTTGATATATTTTAGTATACTGAAGATTTTATCCCACACACTCATTGCATCAAAATCAATGCACTACTGAACATTTCCCACAGTCTGAAGAACAAAAAATATAAATGATGTGCTGGTTTCGGCTGGGATAGAGTTGATTTTCTTCATAGTGGCTAGTACAGGGCTATGTTTTGGATTTGTGCTGAAAACAGTGTTGATAATAGAGCGATGTTTTAGCTATTGCTGAGCAGTGTTTACGCAGAGTCAAGACCTTTTCTGCTTCTCACACCACCCCACCAGCAAGTAGGCTGGGGGTGTACAAGAAGTTGGGAGAGGACACAGCTGGCCCCAACTGACCAAAGGGATATTCCACACTGTATGATGTCATGCTCAGCATATAAAACTGGGGAAAGAAGCAGGAAAGGGGGAACATTCCGAGCAATGGTGTTTGTCTTCCCAAGTAACCGTCACATGTGATGGAGCCCTGCTTTCCTGGAGATGGCTGAACACCTGCCTGCCGATGGGAAGTAGTGAACAAATTCCTTGTTTTCCTTTGCTTGCGTGTGCAGCTTTTGCTTTACCTGTTACACTGTCTTTATCTCAACCCATGAGTTTTCTCACTTTTACTCTTCTGATTCTTTCCCCCATCCCACCAGGTTGGAGTGAGCGAGCGCCCGTGTAGTGCTTAGTTCCTGGATGGGGTTAAACCACAACAACGCTAAGGATTCTAACACATAACTATTAACCAAAGGATGTTAACAACAACAACAAAGTACCTCACTTCTAAACAGGCATGTAGGAATGCAGTTCCTATCTAAGCGCCATAAAAATAGTTAATTTCAGAACAAAATTAAAAAATAAAAGAAATCCTAACTTTGTTTGAGAAGTTTGACTGTCATCTGCAGCTCCAAACTGACCATCGTTAACCATCTTTCCCCTCCTACCCCTTGCTTGTCCAATAAATATGAAGCAGTAAAGTGCATTATGTGTCTAAGTTAAAAGAAAGCATCACTCACATGTTTCCCCATTTAGGTATGCAAGCAAGTCTTTCCTATCAGGTCTTCTTACCACAGGAATGTTTTCAGTCTGAAAAGAGAGCAGACTTGACATTAAACTGTTATTCCCTCAGAAAGTCTCTTGCTGAAAATTTTTCACTTTTCCTAGAAACTACTCATTCACACAAAGACAGGAACATGTGTCCTACCTCCAAAGAAAGCGTAACTATCAAGCTTAAAAATACAATTACTTGCTAGAGAATGTTCAACTACAGAAAATGAAACATGTTGTCTGCTATAAAACTGAAAGGGGGGACAGTCTTTTTCCTCCTTCACTTCAAACTTGCAAATAGGATTAAGAACTAGCTTTTAACACACATGCTCCTCTGCCAGGAGCCATGTTGGTACACAGAAATAGAGTATTTCAATTTTGTTTTTCCAAGCCTGTATAACACACAGCACTGCTGTATCAGGTAATCATGTGGCACTGGGTAAGATGAAGCATGGGCTCATAGAAAGCAGTCAAATGGAAATCAAAAATACTTTCTCCTTCAGAGCTCCCCTATCTTTATTTGTACAGCTTATCTAGTAATTTCTTTAATTAGATTACATACTTCTGAGTCCACTCCAAAGGTATTCTGCTATACTTTTCTCTGTTTTGTAGATCCTTGCAATCTCAGGCACTAAAGGATCGTCTAGATTGGGATCACACAACAGAGAACAGATGGACAAAAGTACTTTTGAAACAGTTAGTGCTGGAGACAGCTGTGACCATAGAACATCAAGAGAAATGCTGCCATTACTGTCAATATTTGGGTGGCAGACTTGTTGTAAAGGCAACCTGGTGGTTTGAAGGGATAATAGGTTGGGAAGTGAATTGTCAAGAAAAATACTCCACCTTGACAGGGACTGTTATTTGATCCCTCTGTAGAGGTGTTGTTTTAAACACACACACACTCTGTTGCATATCTTTTTCCCTTTCCCCAGCCAGATTCATACACTTAAATGCTACTATCGTTCCCTGAAAATAACTATGCACATATTACTTATCACAAACAAGACAAAATAAAATGTTATATGGTCTACTTACAGCAGCACGGCGGACATAAACAGGATGTGAAAGGTGCACATTATTGAGCAGGAACAAGATAGAATCCAAAGTGTAGT